TTTTTATATTCCAATAGCTATTAATTTACTGTAATGTAAAAGTAAACTGTAAATTGGTGAAAAAGTTGTATAAAATAATATATATTTATAGCAGTTATTTATCTTATTTATCTGTGTAACGGAAAAAAAAAGATAACGATTATTTTTGTTACCCCCTCCCTCCTCACGAGCAAGATTGAATGTACGCCACTGAATTCGCATACAGGTCGGCACAACCGGTCGAAATCGCAACCATAGCGATTATTATCGTTGTACCAAAAGCATCCATCTGGTGCACGACTAGCACGACCATGTGTTCGTGCGTTTCGACTAACGAAAACAGAACTGTTGTCGCCCGCTCACGGCGCACGAATAAATAAAATCGTATTGGAATTTATTGCGCCGCCTGCTTGATATCCATGTGTGATCTTGTTGTCATTTGAATCACCACGTGTATACGTGTATCGCATGATTTCGGAACACCTATTCGGACAGTGCTACGACGTTTACCAATAACCAATATTGTTGTTCGTATAACCAAGGGCGTAGGTGGAGATTATTTATAGTCAGGGAGGAAGAGGGTTCGACATTTTTAGGTAATATTTATTTTGATATTACCTAATTATTTACTAGCTGGGGGAGGGATGTGGAACCGGTCCTCATTGACCAGCGACGTGTGTTTTAATGTTATTTTAAATGTATTTTTAATAATACTAAAAAAAATCACTTATTTTTTTAGAAAAACTGTAACCTTCCCCCCACACGCACTCAGAAATTGAAAATACGTCACCACCTGCGCAGCTGCGTACGTAACACAAATGCGTGACGCGCGTGTCCTAACGTCGGCGACAACAACAACAACAACGAATACATTCGGTCGCTAAACAACCGATAATGACTGATGAACAACAACAATGAAATGATACGCACCGCGTGCGCGTATTGTTGCCATGTACACGTTTCACAATGTGCGCAACAAATTACAAATGTCCGATGTGTCACTGCTACCGTTGTAGGTACGCGCGATGTCGTGACACATACCGAACGAAGACGATGTCACCTGGACACGTGTGAATGATTAAAGCACAATTATTGTACACACGGCGCGCGTGATTACGATTTACGTGCAATTACATGAATTATTCAAATACGCGCGTTTCAAGGGGGTGACCTTGATTTGATAATTTATTACTTTCCCCGATCATCGGACGCGTAAACATAATTTCGTTTCGACGTGGACTAAAAAGAATGGAGAGGTTTCTTAAGAAAATCAGTCATCAAGTTGAATTAATGATTATGATTTAGGTTAGGTTTGAACTCAAATTATTTCTTATCACTAATTGATGGTACAAATATTTGTCGGGTTTCATTATTATTCACTATTCAGCATAACAAAATAATTTATTTTGTCCTCCTCTTCAGTATTAAACAATTTTTTTTTTGTTATTAATTTTTTTTTATAAACATGACATATCATCTAAGCAATTACGCTAGAGGCATAGCTTAAGATATTCAGGAGAGATATATTAAAAAAATAAGTGTACTTGGTTTATGTGATCCCCATGTTTTAATGAAGGATCAATGTATACAGTGGACCAATAGTTTAGATTTTATTCCAGAAGTAACTTACCCTGATATTTTTAATTATCTATTTCTCACTAAGAGTGCTTATACGCTTGACGAGTTTAAAGCTTTCAAAAGCTTAGAAGCTTATCATTTTTTTGCTAGTAGATGGATTTATAACACTAAATGGTATGCTGTAAATTACGTTGTTCTAGTTGTTGCAGAGGTAAAGGTTTTTTTTTAAATTGCTTTTGCTTTTTGATTTCTTATAATTATCAATTTATTTTAAACCTAAGAATTAGTACTCAAATACAGAGCTTAAAGTTATTTAAATATATTTTAATCCATTTAAAAATTATCTAAATATTTTTTTAAATGCTTAAAGCTTACTTATTATGTTTTATATAAACTGTAAATTAGTTTTATTTAAATCAAATTGCTATTAGCTAGGTTACATGATTCAAAAATTTTTTAGTGTATATATTGCTTAGGTTGCACATTCACAAAGGCTTAATGATATTAAATTGTTACCATGGATTGTTTTAAAGTTTTCTGGAGAAGTCGTAGCAGTACATTTTACATGTATAGCTGGGCTTGGGGAATGTTGCTCGCATGTTGGCGCTGTGCTTTTTTATTTGCAATATGCTTTCTTAAAAAAAAATGAAACATAGAAGTCTGTTACTGATGTATCTGCATATTGGACTGTTCCACCTAATACAAATTTTAGTTCATAAAAAATCAGTGAAATTGATTTTAATCAACCAAAAAAAATATGCACCAACCATCCTAAGTCACATAAAACTAAAGCTAATTATATTAAAAACCTTCCAACGACTATTAATGATACACAACATTTAAATTTATTTTTAACTAAACTGGAGAAAGTTAATAGCAATGCTGCAGTTTTAAAAGTTATACCATCCTTTAATTTAAAATTTAAAACCGTCTTATTTCCTAAAAGTTTTGTGGGAATGTATAAGGATGAATATGCTTTACTTAGTAAGGAAGATCATGTAATCCTAGGTTCTAAACTAGACTTTTCTTTGACTAAAGATGAATGTGAGAATATTGAACTAATAACTAGACAACAGGCAGAGTGTAAAGAATGGTTTTACTATAGAAGCGGCCGTATAACTGCTTCAAAAGTTAAAGAAGTATATTTCACAAAAACATGCAGTTCAAGTATAAGTCTTCTTAGAACAATATGTTACCCATTACAAAACACTTTTAAAAATCAAGCCACTGTATGGGGAACCACACATGAAAATGAAGCTAAAGCTTTTTATAGTGAAAAATTAAAAAAACAACCATATACATTTTTCTGTTATAAATAGTGGACTTATTATAAATCCATGTTTTCTATTCATTGGTGCAAGTCCGGATGGTATAATTAATTGTGGCTGTTGTGGAACTGGTGTCTTGGAAATAATATAGTCATATATTCCATATAGTCTAACACAAAATAAAAAAATAGAAAATCTTGACTGTATATTAAATGGGAAACTGAAGAAAACACATCAATACCATTATCAGATACAAACACAAATGCTTTTAGGTGGTTTTAAGTATGGAGATTTTATTATGTGGTCACCTAATAATTATTATATAGAACGCGTTAATATTGATTATGAAATATGCAATGAAATTACGAGCAAATCAAAATGGTATTATTATGAAATTATTCTGCCCGAATTGCTTGGTCGGTTTTATACTAATAATCAATCCATTGGAAAAACTAAATTAAAAGAAAGTGAAAATGGTCCATATCAATACTGTACATGCAAAAATGATACAGGAGGGAAAATTATTATGTGTACTAAAGAAGGATGCACAAACTTGTGGTATCATTATACTTGCATTGGAATCAAACGCAAGCCTACAGCTAAAAAATGGTAATGTACAAACTGTAAATAATAAATAAAATTGATTTTAAATTATATTACATTATTATATATATTAACTAGGCTGATCCCGCGCACTTTATTGTTCAATTTCTTATTTAATATTCGGTGTATGGTGTCAAAACTTAAAAATGTTTGCCATCCAGATTTCCTGCTTTCCGGTGGATTTTCCTAAAATTATCATTCATAAATATTTTCTCCTGATAATAAGAAATACAACAAAACAAAAATTAGAGAAATCAGTTTTGAAATATTTATATTATAGATAAACATTTTTAAATTTTTTAATCTAATGGTACAATAGAACTGCACATATTAATGAGAGCACAACAAACTGTAACTATTGAATCTAACAAACATGAGTTATCATCTTGGTGTTTAAGAGTTGTAATTTGCATAGGGCCATTAAGAATTTTATACTTAGATCTAGTGAGTCCTATTATACGCTCTACATTTATTCTAACATATGCTATTTTCCTTGTTTCTTCAACAGAACACGGGTGTAATTGAGGAAGATCCCTTGTAAAGGCAGGTGTTTTCAAAGTAACAAAATAAAAGCTTATACTCCCACCTACAGTGAATCCCCTATCTGCAAGTACTACATCTCCTGGCAATAAATTTTTCAAAAACATACAATTTTCGGTTATGTGTTTGTCACTCACCCTACCTTCCCATCCTTCAGATATAAATGATACTACCCCTTGAGGTGTTATAGCAATCAAATACTTAACAGTATTTTTGTTTTTGTAAGAAGACCAAGTATGTGCTTTAGCTTTTAAATTACTAGGTTTTTCAATTCCGATTTCAAAGCAATCGATAATAACTGCAACTGAGTTACCAAAAGAATCAAAAAGTGAACGTGGCATTAGATAACGTAATGCTTCCATGTCTGGTCAGTAAATTAGTTTTTTAAATGCATGTTCTAAAATAAATATAACCTTACGAAAAATAATTGAAGCAGTATCACAAGAGATATTAAATCTATAGCCTAAATCAACAAATGGCATGTTTAATCTTAATTTCATAAGACATAACAGTTTTTGAAATTCGGTTAACCTTTGGTTACTAGAAGTTAGCGCAGGTTTAATTTCTTCTAAAATTAATAAAAAAAGATCCGTACTCTCAAGGCCAGTATAAAATGCTAACATTTGAGGACGACCATTAAATGTTTCTTCACTTAAATTTAAATAATTTACTTCTGAAGTAAGTTTGTTGATTACAAAATCTTCCCTAACTACTTCTTGTTCTAATGTCTGTATATTAGCTATGGTCATTGTTCTTGAAGTTGATGTCCCTGTTTCCATGCTTCTATCCACATTTTCTACATCACTAGAATTAGGAACAGTGACAACAGTATCATCTTCCAAGTCATTTGGAAACAAAATGGTTGGTGTCAATGCCATTCGTTTAGTAGCCCTATGGTATTGTTTGATATCTGGTGTAGTCGCAGCACCTATATAAGTTTTAAATAAAATCAAACTTTTATTAGATAAAGCTTTAAATCCAAAAAAAAAAAATCATAATTTTTTGTTATTGAGCTGTAAATTGTAAAGTATCAAATGGCATGATTATATTTCTATTAAAAATATAAAACTATTACTTCCTATTATAAAACATAAAATGATTAATTAGTAATTATTAATTACCCTTACTAGTATTGTAGCCCATATTTATTGATGGACACCAGTCAGGATGTTTGTTACTGGTATAGTAAGCTGGTTTACCAAAAGAACAAGTATTACAAAAATAGGTATATACAAAATACAAAAACACATTTAATTGATTAATTAAACATATCCTTACCACTTTTAAAATGAGAAGAACATATGCGCATAGCATCAATCTGCTTATTCTTCAAATTAAGTCTATGAAGGGATTTCAGCCACATATTTCGTTGCTCTTATAGTAGTTTTTGAAGATCTATTGCTGCACTTTTTTTTTTTTTTTTTTGGGGGGGGGGGGGGGTTTGGGTTTGTTTTTTTGTTTTTTTTTTTTTTTTGGGGGGGGGGGGAAACGGTAAAATGATATATTTTTATTGGTTGTTTTATTCGTACAACCATAAACTGCACAAACAGTTGGCATATTTAAAACTTTAAACAAAACTAAAAACTACACCCGACCGGACCATACAATAATATAAATCAAAATGTTTGTATCATCAATAAGTAATAACGTAATTATGATAACAAAGTGGCAGCCATACTATAATAATCAATGGAATTTAAAATATATTTATTTTTGATTGGCGATCCTAGTTTTCTACGATACGTAGAATAAAATAATATAACGCAGCAACAATTGTACGTACGTTTTTGTTATGATCATGATTTTGTCGAATAATTCGAACCGTCAATCTGTAAAGGTATCACCATCTTTATTCCGCCCGAACGCAGTTCGACCATTCCCGAGCGTTTTATTTTACCTTTTACTATTATTACGGAAAAATATCGACGAGAAGTCGAACCGCGTAGACCACCCGCGCAATGGACACTGGGCCCAAATATACATACGAGTATTTGCTATAAAAACTACGATTTTTTACGTAAATCTATTTTTATCAGCGTAACGTAACGCGTTCACCGTACGAAGGTTTCGAAATAGATTATCGCGTTGTTACAACTCGATCGGTGATACATCCTGAGCGGCGGCTGCGGCCTGTCGAAACGGGCAGATTTCGAAATTGTATTTCTGTTCGACCGACGACAATAATAAATCACGCGTGTGGTTGCGATAAAATGCGATGTGTCGTGGCAATTTTATTTTATTTCGTCACACATGCTGTCGAACGATTTGGCATGGGTATCGCGTGACCGTCGCGCGTCCGGCACGTACGGGCTGCAAAACGGAAGTCGCGGGAATCGGTCGCACCCGTCAACGCGTCTGGTTGACGAACACCACGATCGAAAAGCACGATCCGGAAATTGCGTTTCCGGTGGCGCGTGTACTTTGAACCCGGTCGCCGAAACGTCCATGTCGGCAGCTACAAGGGCTACCGGGTTTAATAACCAAAAATGCCTAAAAAAGCACGGACTTCACCCCCCTCCCGTCAACATATCAGGAGTTTTTTTTTTACTTGAAGCCGGTCTCGACTCGTATCGCCATAGTCGCTGACCCCTCCTGAGCTACATTACTGCAAGCGTCCCTGTGTGCATGCTATACTTTTTTTTTTATTTACCAATGTTAACAATTATACTTACATCGTTATTACACGTAAATCGAAATCGATAAGAACCGCTGCAAGCTTACAGGGATACTATTGTATATCACCTGTTGCATTCGCTAACTATATTACTATTACTATACGTGTTATAACACGTGTTGCGTCACACTCTGCCGACACAGCTCTTTTAATTTTTTTGAAGGTTTACAACGCGAACGAATGATCGCGTCGATGACGACGGGCACTGCCGTCGGTGCATCAGCAAGGTGACAACGCGCGTATCAGAGGAATTCTAACACGTAGAACAACGACAACGGATTGTCAAGCGCGCACGTGTTCCGTGATTTTTACGAAGATTTTACGCACCCGCCATCACGCAGTAACAATCCTGGTACATGAATCCAGTGGTTATTTTTGTGCCCTACGGAAAACGTTACGCGGCAAACGGTCTGGATAGCTAATGCGCACGAGAACGGCTCTTTATTTTCGGTTTTTTTTTCGCTGAGTTTCGAACGTTCCGAAGAAATCGTTCAGGGACGACACGGAAATGCCGCCCTTCACGTAAACACGTCTGGCTCCCGGAACTCGATTAGAAAACGTGCACGTCAAGCTAAAAAGAACTCGGGCGGAACGCGTCATTTCGACCTCGCGGGAACCGAAACCCTCCACGCACGTTCGCGACATCGACTACGAGGACGACGAGGAGCTTCCGTCGGTCGACGGATGTTAAATGCGTTGAACGCGAAACGTTTTCGGTACTCGGTTGATAATATTATCGCGCTAACAATTCATTTAGCCGTTATTACCACACTCGCGCTATCAAACGCTTATAAATTATTCATGATCTTAATCAAACGTACTATTGAAACAATTGTAACAGCCGATGCGCTAAAACAATACGTTCCGATGAGTCATTGGCCGACCGCCCGTCGGATTGTACTTGGGAAAATCGAGAAATATCCAATAGATCGACAACGGTCGCGGTGCCAAATCGATCAACGGTCGGCAACTAGCAACAGCATGTTATCTTGCATTGGTTTGATTTTTAAAACGTTTATTAAGAATAAAAAATAATAATTCATACATGGTTTATCAAATTGAGATCATTGATTGTTTCGCGATTAATATCAAATCGATTTAAGAACTTTTAGCTAATAACTATGGCATACAATATACATCTATTTTTTCCTTTTTTTTTTTTTTTTGTTAAATTATTTTAATCTCGAATAGTAATCACTTATCGACGGAGATTCAATCGTCTATGATACACGTGTCGCAAACCGGAGTAATACGATCGGAAAACCTCTCCGACTGAAATCGACCATAGAAAATATCGGCCGACTCCATGTTTGTTGGTCCGCAGCTTCGATGCTAATTTAATTGGGTGCACGCGAGACGATGATGAACGTGTTCGGCTACGCGACAATGTGGCCGGGTGAGGGACAGCAGTGCGCGGGCGCTAATTGACGAAATAACGTACAAAATGTTTACGCTTCGCATTCACGCCACATGCCATAGTGCCGTACGTATATGTTTGTGTACTACTATTTGACATACATTTATGTGTCATCTGCAATAACATTCTTAGCGCCGCCCTTCGATAAAAAAAAAATTATAAAATACTATAAGATCATCGGTTCATTGTCCGTATAATTTTATTTAATAATATATATTATGTTGTGTACACAATATTAATACAGATGCGTATATTATACGCGCGGCGAGTGTACACCGTGCACGAATTAAACGCGTACATGTACACTTCGGAAATCGTTTTTAAATCAATTAAACGTGAACGACGTGCTGCAGCAATCCGCGCGGAAGTATAATTTAATTGAATTCAATCAAGATGTGTATGTACAGTTCTGTACGCGGACAGCCCACATACAAATCAAGCGTTATTTAATAAATAAAATCACGTTCCCGAGGGGCTATTATATGTTTTCTTTTTGTTTAAAGAACGACAGGGGGGGGGAGAATCTTTTCAGGGAACTACAGTATAGTATTCTGTTCTCACGCAACGAAAAGATGAATTTCCAAAAAAACCGCGGAGCTTCCGTTGAACGAATACATACTGCGGTGATTTGTGATCGACGCTGTATTTTAACCTAATCGAGTTGCGCACTGCAGTTTTTATCAAAATCTCAATCAAAAATATTGAAACAATGATATAGTCGATGATATGTATAATTAAAGGGTTTGGCTTCCCAAAAATAAAGAAAAAATTATTTATACAAATAACATTTTTATTTTTATATTTAAAAAAGCAAGAAATAAATTTATAAATTAGAATATTTTTTTTGTCTCTGAAATATATTTATGTGTAGGTCACCAATATTTTGATTATAGTTCTGGGCCCCGGACCCCTAATTATCATAATCCGGGCTTGAGTATACGGTTGCAACGCGTAATTGTATTAATTTGTTTTAGTCGACGCGTTTCTACGTCTAACGACATTTGCACGTGACCGTTAAACATTGAAAACACACTCGAATGACAAGCTATAAGCAGTAGTACGTGTGTGTGTGTGTGTGTGTGTATTGTATATTTAAATTTATATTGAAAACGGACGGTTATCGAGATTGTATGATTTTTCACGCAATCACTGCAATCACTAAAACTGCAGCGGGGTCTGGATTGATTATGTACGCATATTGCCATTCGACCTCTGTATTGGATCATTAGTCATAACACATACGTATATATATATTATACATGTATATGTAAACTAGTTTTAGGGGTGATGTTTCAAATGCGTGTCTCCGTTTTGCAATAAACCATTACGCGCTATCACTTGTAGTGTTTCGAGTGCGGACTATACGCAGAACGCATTTCCGGTGCAGCTTGTACAACGACGCGTTCGCAAGTTTACATACATACCAGTCACAAAACAATCGAAATTATTATTTAACAATATTGGTATTATTACAATATTGTATTTTACGCGTAGTATGTGAATTAGGATTTAATAGTATACTTACGTATTATCGTTGTCGGTTTTGCGGTGGAAGGGGGTCCGCAGAACCCTGGACTCCTCAGGTCCCGAGTTTAGACTGTAATATATTATTCGCTCAGGATGCTCCGATTTAAAATGCTGTTATTTTTTTTATTTATAAAAATGTAATTTAAGAATATAAGAAATTAAATATAAGAATTATATTTTAAGTAAAAAATTATTAATAAACTAAATATTCTTATGTCTTAATATATTATAAGATAATATCAAAGGACTCTCCTCTAAGAATTTTTTTTTAAAAATCGCCAATGTGTATAATTGTTGATTATCACATAACCAAGCCAATATCTATTACAAGTTTTCACTAGACCGTAGTGTTTTCCAAGACATGTATATAATTGTTTTCAATATAGAAAAAATGCTTTTTTATCATTTGAACTACAATGACTATACTTAAGTCAGTTACTGCCCAAAAGTCAATACCTGTGTTATCGACACTAAAATAATGTTGTTAATGACAACTTACGATCGATAACTGTATTAGGTTGTGATAAATCTTTGAAACGGTTGACAAAACTACAGTTAAAAAATATGTGTTTTAAAATCGAGGTAATTTAATGACTAGTTATTGCGACCATCTACAAAAAATTATTACCTAGGGCGATAAACAATAGTTTAAACAAAAAAATGAGGGAGTTTTTATTATTTTTTTTATTTTGCATTTG